GGTAAGGGGAGTTCCTAGGACCGGGCCTGGTCTGCCTGACCCCAAATCCTTGCTTGCTCACTCCACTCATCGGCTGTCCCCATCAGACAGGCCAGGTGGGAGCGGGGACCAGACTGCGCAGGGCGCGGAGGGAATCAGCAACGAGGACCCTCCTGGGGAACTTTTCCCATTGAAAATCTGTTCCCTTGCGGCCACGGGTGATGCATGGCAGGAGCTGATGAGAAACGTGCAGCGGAATGGAGGAGGGCGGCCCGGGCGGGGGCAGCGCAGCATTGAGATTCCACGGGGCGCGGGGGGCGGCGCAGGCCCTGACACCGGCCGGGTAATTGATCTGGAGGTGCCAATTTGCAGCAACTAAATATTTGGTTTCTGCCTTTGCCCGCTCCGCGCTCTGGTCAAACAAACTTCAATTAAAAGCGAAAAACGAGGGGTGGGGAGGCGGCTCGCCCAGGTCCCTGAGGACCGATCGATGTCGCGGAGCCCGCAGGCTGGCGAGAGCGGTGCGCCGGGCGGGGACGCGGCTGATGGGGGCCGGGCGGGCGCCCTCTTCCGGATCGCCGAGCACTGGGCGCCCGGCCCGCGGGAGGCATCGCCCGAGGGAGGGACAGCGGAGGCGGCGCTAGGAGCCCGGGAGCCTAGCTCAGCTGAGTGGAGGGGCGGTCACCTTGTGTCAAGCGGGGGTCACACACAGGGGCAGTCCCAACACCTCCACGCAGACTGTGAGCCTGTGTACTCAGCTAGACAACCCGGGGAAGGAGGGGTCGCGGGGCGCTGATCCTGCTCTCCCCACGCACCTCTCCAGAGAAACTTGGAAGATGGCCTTGCTGTTGGGTGCAATGACTCAGGTCTTTTCTGAGAGCCGCTGGGTGCTGGGTGCACTGGGCACTGAGGCCCGTCTTCTCTCCCATGTCTGTCCACCTGTCTACTCTTGGTTGGCCAAAGAGCTACCAGTGAATCCATCCCAGAACCCAACCCTGGAGGTTGTGAAACGGAGGGCTTGGAATTAGGAGAAGGGCAGTGAGATCCTGGGGGGTTGGAGAGGGGGCCTGGGAGGTGGCCACAGCCTGGAGCAGAGAAGGAGATCATTGGGTCACAATTACTTTTTTTTTTTTGATACAAAGTGTCCCTCTGTTGCCTAGGCTGGAGTGCAGTGGGGCAATCTCAGCTCACTGCAGCCTCCAACTCCTGGGTTTAAGCGATTCTCCTCCCTCACCTGTAGCTGGGACTACAGGCATGCATCACCATGCCCAGCTAATTTTTGTATTTTTAGTAGAGATGGGGTTTCACTCTGTTGGTCAGGCTGGTCTTGAACTCCCAACCTTGTGATCCGCCTGCATAGGCCTCCAAAATTGCTGAGATTATAGGCATAATGTTTGGGATTCAAGACAAACAGCAATAGCCATTCACTGGGTAAAGTTAGCCCACAGGGAAGTTTCTCTTCCTCAAGGATCTTCCAGTCCTTTGAAGATAGAGGGGAAGGGCTGGGAAGAAGAGCTCAGCGTTGGGCTGGAGGCGGAGCAACTCTGGTCAGCCAGGGTAGCTCAGTCTGAGGCACAGGGACAGTTCTGGGAGGGATGTGATGGGAAGGGGTGGGGGCTGGCGAAGAGGCATTGAGGTTGGCAGAGAAGGCTGAGGGAGATTCAGACCCATGGAAAGAGGAAGGGAGTTGAGTTTCTTTCATCTGGGTGAAATTTTCTTGAGGACCAGAGGTGGGAGCTGAGAAGGTGAGGAAGGGGGCCCTTGGCCTCTCCCACATTTCTGTGTCTCACCTTCTGGGGTGGAAGACTCACTCCTTCACCAGGCAAGGCTGCTGCTAATTCACTCAGCTGCAGGCTGTGACCCCCACCCCGTCGATCCCTTCCCCTGTCCTCCTAGGTACCCCTTGGCCCACATCCGGCTGTGAGAACACAGGTCTTGCCTGTGGGCCCCAGCCTCGAGGCCCTCAGACGCCCACTCCTCGGTGCACAGGGCTCTGGGAGAGGGTGGTACCACCATCTTAGCTTCTATCTCTTTCTATCCTATCTATTCCCTTCTATCCCTTGATTCTCAGACCCTCCTCATCCACCCTCAGCTCCCAGTTCTCTCTCTCTTAGTGGCTTGGGGCACCAATCTCCCCACCACACAGAAGTTGGATCCAGAGCTCCACAGAAGGCTGAGGATAAGCCTAGAGCTGAACTGTCCCCAGGAGCCTCCCCACCCGCCACCCCGCCTCCGGGGGTGGTGGGGCTGCAGCACTCCCAGCCTTCTGCCTGAAGCCCGTTCCCAGCCTGCAAGCTGAGCGCCTGCTCCCTCGAATTCCCACCCTCCCTCCCTCCCTGAACGCTGAGCTATGGAGCAGAATGATTTCCTGTAATTGGCCAGCAATCCAGCCGCCCGACTTGTTCTATCGACATGCTGGTTAGCTGGAAATTGTATTGGAATCTGAGTGACTGGGAGGGGAAGGGAAGGTGGGGAGCAAAGAGAGGCGGTTTGGGTCCCAGCTGGGTGCAGCCTCAGCTCTGCAGGTGGGACGAGGAACCACCAGCCACATCTATCCTTTCCTGGAAGGAAAGCAACCTATAGCACCGCATCACCTCCTTCGTTTTGCTCCTTCTTTCTCGCTGTGTCGCTGGGGGGAGGGTCTCCCTGCCCACTGCTATATGCCTACCTAACCTGAAGTCATCACTGCCACCACATTCCCCCTCCTGCCCTAAGACTGTTTCCTTCTGACCTAAAGTGCCTTTGTGAGAACTAAAGGCGCTCAGCAGATACTGCCATACTGCTTCCATTCAATTTCTAGCCACGAGGCTCATCAAGGAATGTCCCAAACCTTCCCCTACCTCTCCAACTCCCCCATGAGGACAGAGATAGAATGAACATCTTAAGAAGAGTTGTCAAGTACTAAAGAGCCAAAGTGTATTAATAGGAGCAGTGAAGATAGCCGGAGGAGCACTGTACTGGGAGTCCAGAAGCTTGATGGTTACACCTGTTGGCTACTTGGGCCCCGGCTCAACCTCTGAGCCTCTGTAAAATTCTGGACCTGTCTCCCTCACTCAGCAGGGAGATTTCAAGGAGATAACTGAACTCTGCGAATTACCCTCGGGCCAGCTGGGCCTCGGAGTGCGGGTGTTTTAGAGGCCTGCCAGTGCCCTTCGTCCCCCACCAGAAGGCGTGCGCGTCTGCACCCTCACTGGTGTCGTGACTGCTCCGTGCCGCCAGGTGCTGAGGCCCAAAGTGAGGGAACGGAATTCGGAGGCTGCAGGGTCCCCCGCCGGTCACCGTCGCGGTAGGTAGGGTGGGGGACACCTCTTGGCACCCGGGGCCCGCAGTTCAGGTTCAGAGGACTTGGGCGAACAACGCAGCTTTTAAATTAGCGCCCGGCGTCAGGCAGAGCCTCCGCGCCTACCCGGCCTGAACTCCCGCGGCAGCCACTAGGCAGAAGTCGGAGGCTGCCCGCGGCCTGAGAGAAGGGAAGTTAGGAGCAGTTCGGTGAGCGCTCGCCGCCGAGGCTGGCCCAGCCCGGGAAGGTGCTGCCACCTGCCGGCCGAACGGGAGGCTACCGGCTCGTGCGCGGGCCTGAGTCCCAGAGGTCCGACCTTTGCAGCTGCGGAGCGGCCTCAACCTCGAGTCCCCTACGGAAAAAACAGGCCTTCTTTTAAAGCTACCTTGGACTTCCAAGGCTGGGAAGGGCAACCCGGGGCAGGGAGGCAAAAGGAGCTGGAAAGGGAGCTGTGACGAGGCCTGGACAGCGCAGGGCTGAATTTGAGGTTTCTCCACATCTGCCATCCTCTGATATATATATATATTTTTTTGAGAGGAGTCTCACTTGTCACCCAGGCTGGAGTGCAATGGTGCGATTTCAGCTCACTGCAACCTCTGCCTTCAAGGTTCAAGCAGTTTTACTGGCTCAGCCTCCTGAGGCTGGGACTACAGGTGCCTGCTATGATGCCCGGCTAATTTTTGTATTTTTGGTAGAGATAGGGTTTTGCCATATTGGCGAGGCCGGTCCCTAACTTTTGATCTTGTGATCCGCCCACCATGGCCTCCCAAAATGCTGGGATTACAGGCATGAGCCACCATGCCTGGCCATCCTCTGACATTCTTGCTTCAAACACAGGTCAGGGAAGAAGTAAATTCTCTGGAACTTTACAGTGCGCTAATTTTCAGCGTCCTCCACTATGAAGCCTCATGATGCATGAGTAGAAACTAAAGGCAGGAGGTCACATGGCAAGCAGAGCCAGAACCTGCGCCCAAGCCCCAACCCTAGGCTCTGGCTCCCTCTGACAAGAGGCTCAAGGAACAAGAGAGAGTTCAGAAGCCCGGCTCTGCAACCCAAACCAAATCCCTCCATCTTCCTGAGCCTGGGATGGAAATAGTCAGTTATGTTAACTATAGGGTCTTACACATCCAGCAGTGCCTGGCATGCTGTGGATACTCAGGAAGTGACGTTTCTTCAGTTATTGGGTAACAGGGCACTGTGGGGGTCCATATCTTCTCTCCTCTTTCATCTCCTGCTGGGTCGCACCAAACTGAGGAAGCAGCAGGCTCCTGCCACTCTCATCCTGCCTGGCCACCTCCCAGCAGCTCACCACTGCCTTATCCAGCCCTTCCTTGCCTCCTTAGGGATTTGCAGTAAGTTAATGGGCTAGACTGAGCACAACGTTCTGGGAAAGGGGGCAGTAAGTATGGCCACCACAACATTCACATCTGTCACACTCATTTCTGGCCTTAATAGGCTGCTGGCTGCAGGATCGACACATCAGCAGGCCTGCAGGCCCTGGCAGGGAAGGCTGATGTCTGCGCTGGTCTAATTGGGTTGGGAAAGGCAGATGGGGAGGCGGGGCAAGAAGATGCTGCCCCAGCCCTCCACCCACCTCCCACAAAGGTGCCTCGGGCCTGACTGCAGTCCACTTGGGACCCAGGGAGAAGTCTGATGGCGAGTGTACTTCCTGGGGCCCTCACCTCCCCCTGGGCTCTAGGAGGACTTCAGCCCAGTGTAGGAAGAAGCCAAGTCTGGGAACTTTGGTTGGTCTGGGGCATTTCAGATCAACACACTTTATTAAGCACCAACAGCAAACCAGGCTCTGCGCTAAGAACACAGAATGAATAAGACACTATCTCTGTCCCCAGAGGGCTTACAATCTAGTAGGAAAAAACAGGCAGCTTTTGGCTAATTACTGTACTGTCAGATTAAGGTGAAATGTTGAGGGGGAGTTGGTATCCTAGACCACCTAACCTAGCCTGGGGCTTCAGACAGTGTCTGAACTGAGAGCTGGTTGTAGGTTTAAAAAAAAAAAAAGAAAAAATAAAAGGTATCCCAGGCCAGGAGCAGCAGGTTGAAGGCACAGAGCCAAGAAACAGCAAGCATGGTGCACTTGGAGAACTGAGAGGTCCAGGTGACAGCAGGGGTGGGAGGCATGAGCGCGATGTGGGAGCACTGCACAAACCCCACATGGGGAGGTGGGGGGTCTCCAGAAGAGGCCTGGCCCTGCTTGGCCACAGCGTTATCCACAAGAGAACCCTCACTGCATGCTGGCCAGGTCTCAGCCTAGGGGAGGGTCTTACTGACTGAATGTGGAAACCCTTGGTCCAATGGGATTTCTCATGGTCCACTGAGGTTTAGGCCATGACGGGGCTGGTGCTTAGAGGGGGTTCAAGCCCAGTGAACCCTTGGCTTTCCAGTGATGGGGAGGGCCGCAGAGACAGTGTTCCCTAGACCCACCCACAGAAATGTATGGCAGTCTCTTGCTTTCACACACTGTCAGGATTGCTGTTCTGCAGGTGGTGCTTGGGGAAGGTGGGAAGGACAGCAGGCTGTTTCTTGGCCTCAGACAGGACGTACTCCAAAGAAGGGATGGCCTGGCACAGGGACCCAGCCCCAATTCAGAGCATTTGTGTGTGTGTGTGTGTGTGTGTGTGTGTAGAGGGGGCTGGGAGGAAACAGGGAGTGTTACCTGGCTTCCGCCTCCAAGGAGACAGATGGAGGCCTGGGCTCCCTGCCTTGAGTGCCCTGCTAGGCGTAAGGCAGAAGGTAGTGGGTGAGTAGGTAGAGGAGGATGGCAATGCCAGCCAGCCCTGTGAGGACCCCCAGCCTCAGCGGCAGGTACTCCAGGGAGCGCTCCAGCTCGGCGTGCAAGAGGATGACCTGGAGTTTGGTGACGCTCCACTCGTCCGAGTTGTCTAGGACATGGCGGGCCATGTGGGCCTTCTCTGTCAGGGGCAGCTGGGCATTGATGCGAGCCTCTGCATCCTTGCGGTTCAGGCGGTTCCGCCGCATCAGCCGCACCAGCTGTGTGTCCCGGTCGCTAAGGACAGGGCAAAAGGGCACTGTAGATCCCTGACTCCCTCTCACTCGTTACAGGTAGGAAGCCCTGCCTGGCCCAGCCGGAGCACAGCATGGGGACTGGATCTTCCCTCCAACCCTACCCTGCTGGGGGTTATTCAGAGTCCCACCGCCAAGGAAGGGGGCCTGGGCACTCACTGGCAGCCTCCCACCCCGCCCACTCACTGTGAGGACCCCAGAGCTCTATGGGATACCGAAAGCCCCTTAATACCAACAAGGAGGGGAACTTTGAGCACAGCTCTTTTTTTGCCATTTGGGTTCTCTTCGCTTTGTTACTAGACCTGAGACTCCCCAGTCATAAGATGGGAAGATTTCATCACCTGGAACCAGCTATATCCTGGATCCCTGGATGGGTGACCTTTACCAAAAGGCCTATGCCTGTGAGCTAGACGCTTCCAGCAGTGCCCCTGGGGGCCAGGGCCTGCAGCATCCAAAAGATCTCCTTGAACCACCACAAAGACCCTCTCCTTGCTGCCGAACCCCTCCCCTTTACATTTTAGAGCACAAGGACTGTGCTGAGATAGTATCTGTTGTGCTTAATGCCACTGATAATGTGGCACAGACCAGCCCCAGGTGCTTCAAAGAGGATCGAGGACATGAGAATTGGTCCCTATTAGTTGTGGGACAGGACTTGGCACTGCAGATTAAGTTGAGCAATACCAAGTCTCCTAACTCCAAGAGAAATTCAAAGAATATCTCCATCACCCACCTGAGATCACCATCTGGGTCCTTCCTTAGGGAACTCCCTCGTGGGCTATAGTCAGTCCTCTGGAATGGGGTCACTGCTAACACCCCTCTAGCTCTCAGAGCTACCTCAGCCCCTCAATGGGGACAAGAGCAGAAAGGGGTGCAGCAGCTGTTTCTACCATTTGGGGTCTTTCTGCTTTGTCACTAGGCCTGAGTTTTCCCAGTTATAAAATGGAAGGGTTTGATCACTACAGTTTGGTTCCTTCTTCTTCTTTTTTTTTTTGAGTTTTGCTCTTGTTACCCAGGCTGGAGTGCAATGGCGTGATCTCGGCTCACCGCAACCTCTGCCTCCTGGGTTCAGGCAATTCTCCTGCCTCAGCCTCCTGAGGAGCTGGGATTACAGGCACGCGCCACCATGCCCAGCTAATTTTTTGTATTTTTAATAGAGATGGGGTTTCACCATGTTGACCAGGATGGTCTCGATCTCTTGACCTGGTGATCCACCCATCTCTGCCTCCCAATCTTCCTTCTTTTTTTTGAGACAGAGTCTCACTCTGTCACCCAGGCTGCACTTGACTCACTGCAACCTCCAACCCCCTGGGGTTCAAATGATTCTCCAGCCTCAGCCTCCCAAGTAGGTGGGATTACAGGGGTGTGCCACACCATGCCTAGCTAATTTATTTTTGGAGACAGAGTCTCGCTTGCCTGGACTGGAGTGCAGTGGTGCAATCTCTGCTCACTTCAGTCTCCGCCTCCTGGGTTCAAGAGATCTTCCTGCCTCAGCCTACCTGAGTAACTGGGATTACAGGCACACAATACCATGCCCTGGTAATTTTTGTATTTTTAGTAGAGACAGGGTTTCACCATTTTGGCCAGGCTGATCTCAAACTCCTGACTTCAGGCGATCCACCTGCCTTGGCCTCCCAAAGTGCTGGGATTACAGGTGTGAGCCACCACACCTGGCCATTTTTTTTAAAAATACAGAGACGAGGTCTTGCTGTGTTGCCTACACTGGTCCCAAATTCATGGGCTCAAGCGATCTTCCCACCTGGGCAGTTTGGTTCCTTCTTAGGGATTCTGGGAAGCAGACCAAGTGAGGCCAGAAACAAGTGCAGCCACTCTCCACGAAAATGAACTACAGAAGCTACAGATTTCCTCTGTTATGGGGTCAGTGTACTGTTGAGGTTGTGGGGCCAATACCTGCCTGGCTGAGAATAGGACTAAATCCACCCTTCGTCAGAGAGACCACAAATCTGTGGCTGGGAGCATCTGGTGTGAGAATGGAGATGGCCTGGGGCTCCCAGCAGGTGCACATCCTCCTGAAGGTGTGGCCCAGACCACAGAGCCTCCTGGATGTGGGGCAGCACCTCCAACAGCCCTTCCTGGGGCTCAGAAATGGTCCCATCATAGTCTAAGACTTGGTACAATTTATAGTGATAGGATTCTTACCTACTTATCCCACAATTGGCAAATTCTTCAAAAACATGAAATTGGCTGGGCATAGTGGCTCATGCCTATAATCTCAGCACTTGAGGAGGCCGAGGAGGAAGATCACTAAGCTTGGGAGTTCGAGACCAGCCTGGGCCACACAGCAAGACCTCATCATCTCTACAAAAAATACAAAATTATTCAGATGTGATGCTGCATGCCTGAAATCTCAACTACTCAAGAGGCTGAGGTTGGAGGACTGCTTGAGCCCAGGAGGTTGAGGCTGTAGTGAGCTGTGACTGTGTTACTGCACTCCAGCCTGAGTGACAGAGTAAGACCCTGGTTCAAAAAAAAAGAAACCACCATGAAATCATGTTTTGGTATAATCACATTTTGGGAGATGTCCTAAGTAATTTCAAATGCACCAGTTAGTTTGTCAGTTAAAGAAATCCACAAGGGAATCCTTATTTTTGTAAAGCCTAGAACCCTTTGGTAAAAAGCATCATTACCTCTATGGCATCTCTCAAGGGCTGTACACCCACACCCGCTGAAAGCAGGGCATGAGTGGCATCCAGGACTCTGACAAATGGTCCTGACTGGAGAGTGGGGCTGAAGGTCTCCTGGAGAGCACATATATCAAGCAAAGCCCCACTCACCCACCAAAACCCATGGCCACCTCCACTCTCACCAAACAGACCAAGCTCAAAGGAAAGCACAGGAAGGGCAAGTGGCTGAGTGGGCACACGGTCATCTGGCGACTGCTCTGTCTTCTCATCTATACTCTAAGATCCGTTTTTCTTCTTCTTCTTTTTTTTTTTTTTGAGATGGAGTTTTGCTCTTGTTACCCAGGCTGGAGTGCAATAGCGCGATCTCGGCTCACCGCAACCTCCGCCTCCTGGGTTCAGGCAATTTTCCTGCCTCAGCCTCCTGAGTAGCTGGGATTACAGGCCACCATGCCCAGCTAATTTTTTGTATTTTTAGTAGAGACGGGGTTTCACCATGTTGACCAGGATGGTCTCGATCTCTTGACCTTGTGATCCACCCACCTCGGCCTCCCAAAGTGCTGGGATTACAGGCGTGAGCCACTGTGCCCGGCCCCGTTTTTCTTCTTTTTTTGAGATGGAGTTTCGCTCACTCTTGTCACCCAGGCCAGAATGAAATGGTGCAATCTCTGCTCACTACAACCTCTGCCTCCTGGGTTCAAGCAATTCTCCTGCCTCAGCCTCCTGAGTAGCTGGGATTACAGGCACCTGCCACAATACCCAGCTAGTTTTTGTATTTTCAGTAGAGATGGGGTTTCACCATGTTGGCCAGGCTTATCTTGAACTCCTGACCACAGGTGATCCACCCATCTTGGCTTCCCAAAGTGCTAGGATTACAAGCATAAGCTATCACACCTAGCTTCTAAGATTCTTTGGGAAAAAAAAAATGTTTTTTTCCTAGGTACAAAGTTCCACTTGTGCTACTAAGGCACAGAGAATTCCAGGTCTTCCTGGGGTCTGCTTGACCTTAGTTGACACCTTTACAAGCAGGGAATGAAGAACCCAAAGAGGCGGCAGGTTTACATGAGGCAGCAGGGTCGAGTGGGGAGCTGAGAGGATGCCAGTGTCCCTGTACTGGGCTCATGGATTCAGATTGGACTTTCAGTGACAGCCCACGGGGACCCAGGGGGAAAGGCAGGGGGATTCTCAAGGCACTGAGTGCTCTAGGCTCCACCCCCAGCATGCTGGGAGCCTCCATGGCCTTAGGTTCTGGAGAGCCAACCTATGCCCAAAATATTGACAGAGCCAATTGCCCACCTATGTGTCTGCTGTATTTGTGGGTGGCATCCAGGAAGTTTCTGGGTGGCAAAGACACCCTGCAGCCTCATCTACTCTCTCACCCCACTGGGACGGGAACTCATTTTCCTCCACAGGTTGATCCTCCTCTGTTCGTCAGACCTGGATTCTGCTTGGCTTCATGTCCTGGGGGATTCTGAGAACAAAGCTCCTTCCTTAGCTGGGCTGTGACAGTCCCTTCCACGAAAACTTCTGTTCATAACAGGGTGATCTTGGACACATTCTGTACCTGCCCCCGCTTTAATTTTATCTTCAGCAACTCAGGAATATCGACACCTGTCCTGACCGCCTCCTGCTGAGGGGTAAACTGTGTGAAGTAATAAAGATGCTACAGGAGGAAGGAGCCACTGAGTAACAGGGTGGCCCAGGGCGAGGCCAGGCATCTGGTCTGATGTGACTGCAGTGGCCAGCAGGGGGAGCGCTCCCCAAACACTAGAGAAGCCTGGGGGCCGTCCCTTCCCACACCTGCCCCCAGGACTATCCCAGTCAGGCACAAAGTTTGGTTTCTACAGATTCTGGCCACTGCTGCCCAAACCCTGGTGCCTCTTGGCCACCCCCTGGGAAAAGGGCAAAGTGCAAAGTGATGTGAGCTGTTTCCCAGATACCCTAGCGGTCCTTCCTTCCAGCCAGGGCATGCCACACACTCACCAGTACTCACCAGTATACTACCACGGTGTGCTTCATGTACTTCAGCAATTTCTTGGTCTCAAACAGCAGGGGGATATCCAGAATCACGTAGCGGTATCCTGGGGAAGAGGGTGAAAAACCCCCAAGTTCAATTCCGCAAGCACACGCTGAGCACCACTATTCTGGGCCCTACTGTCCAGAGCGCCCAGCAGAAGGGCAGACCTTGCAAGTACCCACCCCCCTGCCACGCTCGCCAGTTCAATGCCATGCAGGGCAGAACACTACAGAAAATCATTTCTGGATGGCTGATCAGGGAAGACCTTGTAGAAGGGCTGGCACTTGTGTGGGCTGTGAAAAGTGGGCAGGTCTTTTGATACTTGAAAATGAGAAGGTGAGGATTCTAGGAATGAGGACCAACACAGCACAAGGACAGAGAGGCTCTACTCTGTGGGCTGAAGCAGCGGCCTCAGGCTGTGTGAGGCAAGGAGGTGATCAGGGCAGGCACTAAAGGTTTAGTTCACCTTGATCTTGAATCCCAAGAGTTGTTATTCCTCAGGAAAAACAAAAACACCCAAAGGATAGGTTCTCCCCAAAGAGCCAGGTGCCAAGCTTGGCTGTCTCTACGAGCTCTCCATAAGAGGCTCACATGGAGGTGGCAGCAGCAGAGAGAAGCTGCCTCTCCCATCAGAGGCAGACCTACAGCCAGGGTAAGGCCTGGATCTGGAGGCAGAGGGGGTGATTATGACTAATACTGTACAACACTCCTGCAGTGTAAAAGGCACTGGCTGCCCCTCCTACTGCAAGCCAAGGCCAGTCAAGGGCAGTACTCCTACCCACTGTGAGTGAGCACATCCTTAGGCTGCTGTGGGCTACATGCTCCTTGTTCTTTTTAGGCCAGTGACCCCTTGCATGTGTACAAAGCTGGGAGGGCTCCAGGAAAGCAAGGAGGATGAGGGACAGGGAAATGCTGCTCAGCCCAGAGACCTCAGGCCTGGCTGGGGCAGGAGACTGCACCCCCAGAGTGCCCCACTCCAAACACTTCCAAGCACAGAACCAGACACACATCACACCAATTCCAGGGGTGTCATGGGACACTGGCACTCAAAGTGATGCAGGGACAGTGGAGGTGGCAATCTCAGCTGCTTGGTTTCCGGTTCCCCAGGACCTGCCACTCAATAAGCGTAGAAGCCCGCAGGTGAACAAGGGTGTTAGAACCATGGGTTTGATGACATACCTTGGCTAGTAGTGTGACCTCAGGCCCCGTTCTGTGTAAACCTCATCTGTCATCTGTGTAAATAAGTAAAGAGGCTAGGTTCGGTGGCTCACGCCTGTAATCCCAGCACTTTGGGAGGTCAAGACGGGTAGATCAAGAGGTCAGGAATCTGAGACCAGCCCAGCCAACATGGTGAAACCCCATCTCTACTAAAAATACAAAAATTAGCAGGGCATGTTGGCAGGTGCCTGTAATCCCAGCTATTCAGGAGGCTGAGGCAGGAGAATCACTTGCACCTGGGAGGCAGAGTTTGCAGTGAGCCAAGACCACTGCACTCCAGCCTGGGTGACAGAGCAAGACTCTGTCTAAAAAAATAAATTAAATAAGTAAAAATAATACCTACTTTAGGAGGCCAAGGCAGGTGGATCACCTGAGGTCAGGAGTTCAAGACAAGCCTGGCTGACATGATGAAAGCCCGTCTCTACTAAAAATATAAAAAATTAGCTGGGCATGGTGGCGCGTGCCTATAATCCCAGCTACTCAGGAGACTGAGGGAGGAGAATCGCTTGAACCTGGGGGGCGGAGGTTGCAGTGAGCTGAGATTACGCGACTGCACTCCAGCCTGGGCAACAGGAGCAAAAAATAAAAACCAAAAAACCAAAAAACAAACAAGACAACAACAACAACAAAACCAACTTCACAGGATGATGGTCAAGATGAAATGAGCCTTGAATAAATGTGAACCACACAGTGCCTTTCAGCAGTCCCTCGCTAGCTGCCCCCAAATGATGGTACTATTGCAGGGGGAGGCCAGCAGTGCAGTGCGCCCCCATAACTTGGTGCAGGAGCCAAGACCGGATCCTCTCCGGGCCTCTTATCTCCCTCTCCTGCTCAGCTCCCATCACTTCCCCTCCCATCGCCGTTCTGTCTCCGGCCCCTCTGGGGAGTACATGGTCAGCTCTTTGGTTCACCAGCAAAGGGCTATTCAGCTGTCACATCCCTCCTGCTTGATAAGCTCTGCAAACCATCCTGACTCTATTAAGACATCCGTCTGCCTACACAGAGAAGTCCCCAACAGCTGGTGATCTTATCTGACGTTTGATTATACCAACTTTGACAGTTGTATTTGTTATACTCATCAGGGAAAAACTAGGACTGTGGAAGCCACAGCTGTCATCCCCATTTTTCACCTTATCGAGCTGAAAAGGGCTCTCTGGCTTTTATTTAAGTGATGGTGGTTGGGGAGGCGGGAGGCTGGGTAGATGACACAGTAAAAGAGCTTTGGAGCGGGTGACATTATCCGATGTTTAATTTCAGAAGGGGAGAGCCACTGCCGCCTTGAAGCCCTGCAGATGTACCGGTAACTGGCCTGGGAGACAATGCAAAAAGGGCAGGAATGAAAGGCCAATGACTTAGTTCTGGGAGGGGGATGGGAGGGGACACTGTTGCAAGATAGGAGGCAGCACAAAGAGTCCAGAGACTCTTTTTGAGGGAGGAGGCGGGGAGGAGGCCTACAGCGCAGTGCTGAGGTGGCAAGGTGCTGAGCTGAGCGCACACACTGGTTCAGCAGGGAGAATGCCGGAGCCAGCTCCAGCCCGGCCCGGCCTGGCCCAGGGAGGGTGGTGGGGTCGTCATGGATGTCTGTCAAGTCATCTCTTTTGGAGGGAGGTATTGGCCAGAGGGGGATGACAGTTGCGGGAGGTTCCCCACTCAAGGCATGGCAGAATAAGAGGCTTGGGCATGGTCACAGTGTAAAAGGCTCCCCCAGCCAGGTATGGTGGCTCACGCCTATAATCCCAGCACTTTGGGAGGCCAAGGTGGGCAGATCATGAGGTCAAGAGTCGGAGAACAGCCTGGCCAATATAGTGAAACCCCATCTCTACTAAGAATACAAAACTTAGCTGGGCATGGTGGCATGTGCATGTTACCCCAGCTACTCGGAAGGCTGAGGGCAAAAGAATTGCTTGATCCTGGGAGGTTGCAGTGAGCTGGGATAATGCTACTGCACTCCAGCCTGGGTGACAGAGGAAGACTCTGTTTCCAAAAAAAAAAAAAAAGTTCCCCCATGCCCTCATGGAAGGAAAACCTCAGTGCATGGAGGCCACACACGCCAAAGGCTGGCAGGCAAATCTCCAGCATCCCTAGGCCAACCTCTCGCTGGATCCCAAGCCACTGCCCTCTGATCTCTCTCCCATTTCTCCTGGTGACTGACCCCATCCTGGACAGTAATCGTCAGGCCATCCCTGTGCAATACTGTCCTGAAGAAGAGGACTTAGCCCAGGTGTGGTGGCTCATGCCTGTAACCCCAGCACTTTGGGAGGGCAAGGTGGGAGGATTGCTTGAGGCCAGGAGTTTGAGACCACTCTGGCCAGCACAGTGAGTCCCCATCTCTAAAAACAAAATAAAATAGAACAGGGCTTGAACCATGGCATATGGCTTGGAAGAAGGTTCCTGCCAACTGGCCCCAGACCCCTGCTTTTCAAACACTCCCCTCCTTTCCATCTGGGCACTGCTCGCTGTCCCTGCCCCTGTACGTAACTCTCCATGGAGCCTAACCCACAGAAGACAGTCCCCACTTAGTACCCTTCCCCCACCTGCCCTGGCCATCTTGGTCCTTCCCCAACTTCCAGTCTACAAACTCATTTTCCCAGATGGCTCAGCCAGAACCAAACCTGACCCCGAATGCAGTTTACATGTGTGATAACTGACAGTCGCTGACGTGGACCCTCAGTCCTCCTGACATGCTCACGTTGCATTATTTTTTCTGTTTTTTGAGATGGAGCCTCTATTGTCCAGACAGGCTGAAATACAATGGTGCAATCTTGGCTTGGCTTACAGCAATTTCCACCTCCCCAGTTCAAGTGATTCTCCTGCCTCAGCCTGCCCCACGTAGCTGGAATTAAAGGTGCACACCACCACGTCCAGTGGCATGAGCCACTGCACCCAGCCTCATATAATATCATCACCGCTGCACAGGGGAGAAAAAGAGCTGAGGGCTAGATCATTTGATGGGGTCACACAGCTAGAAACTGTCAGGGTCGGCATTTGAACTCAGATCTTACATATAAGATCCATTTTTCACTAGCTCTTATTACTCCCATCCCTACTAGAGAAACCAACTTACTTCCTGGAATCATGGCTCAAAAGCCTCATGTGTCTTTTCTCATTAAACTGTCAGCCTCCTTAAGAGCTGAGGGCAGCCGGGCATGGTGGCTCAAGCCTGTAATCCCAGCACTTTGGGAGGCCGAGGCGGGTGGATCACGAGGTCAAGAGATAGAGACCATCTTGGTCAACATGGTGAAACCCCGTCTCTACCAAAAATACAAAAAATTAGCTGGGCATAGTGGCGTGTGCCTGTAATCCCAGCTACTCAGGAGGCTGAGGCAGGAGAATGGCCTGAACCCAGGAGGCGGAGGTTGTGGTGAGCAGAGATCACGCCATTGCACTCCAGCCTGGGTAATGAGCGAAACTCCGTCTCAAAAAAAAAAAAAAAAAAAAGCTGAGGGCATGAGCTTCTTTTCTCTAGGGCTGGTATGGGGCTCTTCGTGCAGGGGGTGCCAGTGAGCACTGTGAACTCATCAGTTGGGATAAGCAGCTCCCCTACCCTGGCCAAACTTTCTTCAGAGGAGAAGAGCCCCAGTCCTGGAGAGAGAGGGCATTGCCCCCACCCTGGCCCAGACCCCGGCACTTACCCCGGAGGAAGTACTTGAAGGTCTCCTTCATCATCTCCTTGCGGATCTCAGGGTGGGTGATGGCATTGAGCAGCTGCCGACGGTCTGGCTGGTTAAAGATCAGGTCCCCCAGGACCTTGCGATTGATGTCGCCATTCTCCAGCAAGACCTCAGTGCCAAAGACCTCTACGATGCGCCGGTGGGCAGGGTATCCTGGCTGCACGACTGTGGCAGGAGGAAGAAGCTGGGTCACTCCCTAGAGCCTCAGGGCCAGCCAGAGGACCTTAGTGACCAGGGGCAAAATGATGGGAGAACTCAGTTGCCTCTTCCAGGTGGAACAAAAGCAAAATGAGGGGAGAGAAAGCAGTGAAGGAAAAGAGCCGAGTGTACACCTTGTGCTGGTAATGGGGCAGAGCTGTTCTAAAAAGAGTAAATAAGGCCGGACATGGTGGCATATGCCTATAATTCCAGCACTTTGGAAGGTCAAGGCTGGCAGATTGCCTGAGGTTGGGAGTTTGAGACCGGCCTGAACAACATGGAGAAACCCCGTCTCTACTAAAAATACAAAAAATTACAGGTGGCACATGCCTGTAATCCCAGCTACTTGGGAGGCTGAGGCAGGAAAATCACTTGAACCTGGTAGGCGGAGGTTGTGGTGAGCTGAGACTGCCCCATTGCACTCCAGCCTGGGCAACAAGAGTGAAACTCCATCTCAAAAAAAAAGAGTAAATAGAAGAGCAGAGAAGGCAAGCATGGGGCAGGGACAGAAGTCAGACCAGGGCCGACAGGAGCCTTCCCCTTCTCTGACACTTATAAAAAGGGAGGCGTGAAAGAAGGCCAGAAGCACGGGGAGCTGCTGTGCCTGATCCCCCAACCCACCCCTCCCACTCACCGTGCCGGGCCATGACGTCCACGTCAATCACTGCACAGCCCAGCTGCTGGAACACCTGGATCACTGAGCTCTTGCCGGAGGCAATGCCCCCAGTCAGGCCCACCAAGAACATCTTCCCAGGAAAGAGGTGTCCCGAGACTGCGGAGCCAGGAGCCGAGGGATCACTAGAGAGAAAGGCAAGCGTGGCCGATGGGGGCGGTCCCCCAGAGGAGCACCAGAAGGACCTGCCTGGCAGAGGCCAGCAGCCCAATCAGTTTGGGCCAAAATGATTGGGGCAGAAGAGGCAAAGGAAGGGAGAGAGCCTGGCTAGGCAGGGCCATGCCCTGAGCTTGGGGTACTCTGGGGCCATCTGGAGAGGAGAAACCCTCCAGGAAAGGCCTCCAGTATTCTTTAAAAAACACTCACAAAGAAGGCAAATGGGGCCGGGCGTGGTAGCTCACACTTGTAATTCCAGTACTTTGGGAGGCCAAGCAGGTGGATCACCTAAGGCCAGGAGTTTGAGACCAGCCTGGCCAAGATGGTGAAGCCTTATCTCTACTAAAAAAATACAAAAATTAGCTGGGCGTGGTGGTGTGTGCCTGTAATCCCAGCTAGTCGCCAGGCTGAGGCAGGCGAACTTCGTGAGCCCGGAAGGCGGAGTGCATTGCAGTGAGCTGAGATACCGCCTTTGCAGTCCTACCCGGGCGACAGTGCCAGACTCTATCTCAAAACAACAAAATGCTGAGCAGGCAGGGCAAGGCCATGTGCTGTTAGGCAGCATGCTTCCTGGAGGCAGGATTCTGTTGGAGGCCAACTTCCTATAGGAAGGAGTCATCTGTCTCTCTGCGGCAGGCCCATATAGGGCTATTGGCCCTTCAGGGTTGTGGGTGTCCCTTATGCTGTGCTGAGATGCAGGATCCGAGAAGTAAAGAGACGGGACACTGAAGAATGGAGAAGAGCAGCTGGACTCAAGGGGCCACACCACCTATGAGCGGAGACAGACCAGGCCCCAAACATCCAGAAGCATCTGTATTTATTATTATGTACAAGCAGGGGGAAGGGTCGTGAGGTCATTATCTATAGACTTAGTGATAGGGCATACATAATCACAAGAGTCACAAGCCATAATGGGGCCACCCCATTATGTCACCTGGGCAGAGAGGTGGGCCGTGCGCAGTAGAGTGTCATGTACAGAAAAGGGGTCCACCTCCATTATGTCACTGAGGCAAGGAGGTGGGCTGTATGCAGCAGGTGTCCTGCACAACCCTTCTTATCTGGGGCTGGAGACTTCAAAGGATTTCTAATAGAAAGATACTGTAAGCCAATGCAGTGGGGGCTGACAGACTTGTGCTCTTCTTTAAGATATTTATGGGAGGATGATCTGAGCTAGCACAGAAGAAAAGAAAAGGCTGACAGGGTGTACAGCCGCCATGACCCAGTCACACCAGAGGGATTCTTCTCCCTTGGTTATTTCCAGGATCTCAGGCCTGAGGCCTACTTTCCACAGGAACTGGATACAAGGTACTACAAGTCCTTTATCAGAAGGAGAGGCTCTTGCTCCAAGCCTGCCATACAGTGTATGCCCTTTCAGGCAGGGACGCCACTGCCTGGGTCTTTGGTTCTTGTCCTGGTCTGGCTGTTTTCCCATGTACTGCTTCTGCTTTGTGACTGCTCTAGGCATTCTTCCTACTACAAAGTACTATGTGGTTATATAGAAGGATTCTATAAATCAGCACTAAATGTGTCAGTACAGCTCCGACTACAATACCTATATGATTATATAGAATGAGTATACGAAACTATGCTAGATTTAAGTACTAAGTATGACTACATAAGCTAGATATATGTAAGCAGTAAGTTATACTTCAGGCATTAATTCTATAAACTAATATAACAAAAGATTATATAAAGGAAATAGCTAAGTAATAGCACTATAAACTAAGAAATTCTTCAGGCACTAATTGTGCCTGGGGTTTGCACAGCTCTCCTTCCTCAGTGACCAGGTGGGGGGTTACCCACAGGCCCACAGCACTCTTCAGATGCCCATGGGTTCTCCTGGCCTCTACTTTCTAGTTTAGGAGACTGGGGCTCATAGGGAAGAAATGGCCTGCCTGCAGCTACCCACAGAAGTTGCAGGAGAGACAAATAGAGTCTAGATGCCTGGGCCCTCTTTTGCCCCAAAGCCTCCTCCCCATAGAAGGTCCCATGGATCACTCCCCCTTGAATGCAAGCACTAGGACTGCCTGGGTGGCTGGTCTAGATGGAGACGCACCAGCCTCTTCTTCAACCAGGAAGTGGCCCAGATGAGGAGCTGAGCCGCAAGCAGTGGCTCAGCAGCCACTAACCCTGAGGTTTAGAAAAATACGGGTCTTGCCAAGAAGGAATGTGAGGGAAAGGCCAGGAGGCTGGGTGATGCTGGTGGTGTAACTCTGAGCTGCCACCGTGGTTTGTGGCTCCCTCAGACTGAGCAATGGCAGCACCGCACAAAGGTTGGGGAGTGACTTCTTCACATCCAGCTCCTCCACTTACATGCAGTGCAAACCCCCGGCAAGTCGCTTGCCTCTCAGAACCTCAGTTTTCTCATCCATAAAATGAGATTTTATGGATAAGATTGCCTCGGCCGGGTGCAGTGGCTCATGCTTGTAATCCCAGCACTTTGGGAGGCTGAGGCGAGCAGATCACCTAAGATTGAGAGTTAGAGATCAGCCTGACTAACATGGAGAAACCCTGTCTCTACTAAAAATACAAAAATAGCCAGGTATGGTGGTGCATGCCTGTAATCCCAGCTACTTGGGAGGCTGAGGCAGGAGAATAGCTTGAACCCGGAAGACGGAGGTTGTGGTGAGCTAAGATCATACCATTGCACTCCAGCCTGGTCAATAAGAGTAAAACTGTATCTCAAAAAAAAAAAAAAAAAAAAGATTGCCTCATGGGGGGCCTGGTGTAGTGGCTCATACCTGTAATCCCAGCACTTTGGGAGGCCAAGGTGGGAGAATCATTTGAGGCCATGAATTTGAGATCAGGCTGGGAAACAGAGCAAGCCCCTATCTCTATATAAAAAAATTTTTAATTAGCTGGGTGTGCCTGTAGTCCTAGCTACTCAGGAGGCTGAGGCAGGAGGATCACTTGAGCCCAGGAATTTGAGGATACAGTGGGCTATGATGTGATGGCTCCACTGCACTCTAGCCTGGGTGACACAGCAAGACTGTCTCAAAAAAAAAAAAAAGCAGGTGCAGTGGCTCACACCTGTAATCCCAATACTTTCGGAGGCCAAGATGGGCAATCACTTGAACTCAGGAGTTTGAGACCAGCCTGGCCAAAACCCTGTCTCTACTAAAAATACAAAAATTAGCTGGGTGTGGTGGTGGGTGCCTGTAATGCCAGCTATATGGGAGACTGAGGCAGGAGAATTGCTTGAACCCAGGAGCTGGAGGAGGTTTCAGTGAGCAGAGATTTCACCCCTGCACTCCAGCCTGGGTGACAGAGTAAGACTCCGTCTCAGAAAAAAAAAAAAAGAAAGAAAATGCATATGCAGCCCATGGTATGTTGCTTGATAAATGTAAATGCCCCCAAAATGGAAGCGAGGATAGTGACACAGGGTGAAAAGCAGGCGTTACAGTTACATTGCAAGGCATAGAAAGAAAGAAAAAAGACTTTCATGAAACCATGTCCCTCATGAAACCATTCTCCAACCTCAGGCTGTCACACCATAGACTTTTAGAAAGTCATGGTGCATTTTCTGGAGTAAATGAGATTACCATGTCTTGGACTTTGTTCCCAGGCTAGAAGCAATTAAATCAAAGGCCAGGCCTTTCCCGCCCTTCCTTCAGCCTCAGATCACTTCCCCAGGACTGTGAATTCTGTCACAGGACTTTTTTTTTCTTTTTTGCTGTTGTTAAGCAGCAGATTTACTGTCCTAATTACACTTTGTTTGAGCTTACACTGAAATGAGTTTGCAGCCCTGTGAGGGAGATGACATCGTCCTCTAATTTTTTTTTTTTTTTTTTTGAGACGGAGTTTCGCTCTTGTTACCCAGGCTGGAGTGCAATGGTGCGATCTCGGCTCACCGTAACCTCCGCCTCCTGGGTTCAGGCAGTTCTCCTGCCTCAGCCTCCTGAGTAGCTGGGATTACAGGCACGCGCCACCATGCCCAGCTAATTTTTTGTATTTTTAGTAGAGACAGGGTTTCACCATGTTGACCAGGATGGTCTCAATCTCTTGACCTCATGATCCACCCGCCTTGGCCTCCCAAAGTGCTGGGATTACAGGCTTGAGCCATTGCACCCGGCTTATTTTTTTTTATTCTTAAAAAAATAATAATTTCTCCTCAGTCTGAAGCTGGTGATCTCCCTCCAGGTTATAAAAAGGACAGGGTTCAGTTGTAAAAACAAGCAAAAAATAAAATGTCAGCCACCCAACTAAAGCTTTGGAATAGAAAATCTAGCAAGAACTTTTTTTTTTTTGAGATGGAATTTCACTCTTGTTGCCCAGGCTGAAGTATAGTGGCACATCTTGGCTCATTGCAACCTCTGCCTCTAGGGTTCAAGCAATTCTCCTGCCTCAGACTCCCAAGTAGTTAGGATTATAGGTATCCACCACCATGCTCAGCTAATTTTTGTATTTTTAGTAGAGATGGGTTTCACTATATTGGCCGGGCTGGTCTACAACTCCCAATCTCAGGTGATCCACCTGCCCAGGCAGTTCTGATATGTAACAGGGCTCAGAATAAATTCTAACTCTTCTTTTACAGCAGTGGAGACTCCAGTCCAGAGAGGGGAGGGGACTTCCCACCAACAGCTATTAGCAAAGGCTGGATGAAATTCAGGGCTCCTGACCCCTAGTCTAGACCCCTGCCTTTAATGTACTCAAGGAATGAAAAATTAATTTGCCTTTAGACTAATTAGACAAAGTAAGGAAGAGGAATCTGTTTGTAGGCAAATCAATTGAGAGCCAAACAGAAATAATTTCTTGATTATCATACTGCTTTCTTGCTGCAGAATCGGGGGTGAGGAAGTGTGTGGACAGTGGCCAGAACACAGATGTAAATTCCAGCCTCCCGGGTTACCTAATGAGTATCCTCCCTTCTCAGTGCCTTGACTGAGCATCCGTGGAAACAGACCAATAGCTGCTTGGCCTCCATCAGGAAGGCCAAGGGGACGAAGGAGCACATGCCCGGGGAGGCTCCGGGTCCCTGGCTTAAAGGGCCTTGACAAATAACAGCTGTTCCCGTCCAGCAAGCCCCTCTGTAG